TTCAGGGATGGAAAGTTTCTTCAGGATGATTCTTTCGCTTTTTTGCTTTGTCTTGATAGTGAGAGTTACAGAGCTCCATGCTGCCAAAGACGAATGCCAACCCAAAAAGTGCAATCACCATACCATCCAGTTCCCATTCCGACTAAAAGAGCAGCCGGAACACTGCGGTTACTCTGGGTTTGAACTATCCTGCAACGAGGAAAATCAGACCGTGCTCGAGCTACCGCGAAATGTGAAGTTGTTTGTGAAGCGCATAAATTACAAAGCACAATGGATTAAGTTATACGATCCGGATGATTGCCTCCCGCGGCAGCTTCCCAATCTCAATTTATCTGCATCTCCCTTCCAGGATTACAGGGATAAAATCGACGACCCACCTCAAAAATACACTATTTTCAATTGTTCACGCGAAGCACAACCGCGTGATGTATATGAATATATTACAATTCCTTGTTTAAGCATCCCAGAATTCCAAGTTAGAGCTCTTCCTTCCAATTATAGTTATGCTATTAGTTTGTTAAATTGCAGCAGAACGTTGATGAACATTTCGGCAATAGCAATATCTCGAGATATGTTGTATTACCAGAAAAGGGACGTTCATTTGAGTTGGTCCAAACCAGACTGCAATAAATGTGAAGCGGTGGGCAAGAAATGCAGACTGGAGAAAAATAATAATATTACACGTGATGAGACAGAGTGTTCTGGTAAATCCAAAAAACAAAGAGGTATGCTTTTAAGTTTTAACAATTCCAAATATTATGAATGCCATCCTTGTTGAGTTCATCTGTATTCCTTAGATTTCACCTTGTTTTTCAATTTTCTACCCTTGTTCTGTTGCTTTCGATGCTCCTTCTTTTGATTATGAGATGAACATCTAGTTTAAAATTTTACATCCCTGGGCAAAACTCCGATGCCTCAGTTTTGTCATATCAGATTGTAATAGATTTGAGGAACATATCAAGAACCTAACTTTCTAATGTTTTACAGATGTACAGAAAGTACTATTGGCTACAGGAATAGTCCTAGGTTCCTGTCTTCTTGGAATAATTCCCTTTGGACTTTACCGCGTTCACCATTCATATAAAGCAGAGAAAGAAGGCCAACTCAAGATTGAAAATTTTCTGGAGGATTACAAAGCTCTCAAGCCCTCAAGATATTCTTATGCTGACATCAAGCGAATAACAGTTCAGTTCAAGGAAAAACTTGGAGAAGGGGCCTATGGAACAGTTTTCAAAGGGAG